TAACCAATCCTCTTCAAACCATCAACGCTAACAAGTGACTGGAAAATTGCCAATTTGTTGAAATTAAATTACTAACTTGATTATGACTCTTTTTATAGCACATAAAATCCTGAGAGCATATTTTATGCAACATTATTTAAATGTCCAACATTGTTTATGCCTTGAGTTTGTTAATTTAATTTCTGCATTCCGTCAAGTGAAAGTTTTCCCGCTCCCACTTCCGGTACAAGTTGTGAATTATAACACCATTTCAGATACTTAGACACACATCTACAATGTATGTATGTGTATGCTCTCTGTGTATCTACTGGGGTTGCAAAACTTTCGCAACTGTTCTAAAAGTTGAGGCCGTGTTAAGCCAAAGTAGTTTAGCCATGGGATTTTTGCACTTCTTGTAGCCAGGAAATGTTTACATATGCGCATAAAGATGCAGCCACCTACCGTACCCTCCGCACCCTCTGCCGCTGCCCACTCGTACTATCGCTGCCACTATCCAAACAGACAGGAAAGGCTTCTCGAGACAGGGAGAGACGGCAGACGGCAGTGGGGAGTGTGGGGCTAGAAAACTTTGTTTCATTCGTTATAAATTGTGGACACTGCGGCAAAGGAAATATCATTTGCGCTAAGTATGCAGTTGACAGTTTGCGGAAGCACATTAAGTATGTATGATAATATGTACACATTTATATGTGTATATAACTATGGTTATTTAATAAATACAAGTCAAAAATTGTTAGTCGAAAAAACACCCAAGAACAGTTTTCGTTTAAAGGGTAACAGATTATAGTCACTGGTGCAGCTGTTAAGTAAAAGCTAATTATTGTTCTTCATTTGCGCTGCCCACTGTACTCCCATGAACATGCATGAACATGCACGAGCTCAGCCCATGCAGTCGTTCTCCCGTTCTTTGCTTGAATCTGTTACTCTCTCGATCTCTGTCGCTCTTTCTCGCTTGCATTAGGTCAGCCGTTATGTTGCGTCTTTATCTCGCACCTTTCTCTCGTTCCTTCCCTGTCGCTAATACTCTCTCGATCTGTCGCTCTCTCGCACGCTCTCTCTCATTAGCTCTCTCTCTTGCACTTAACAGTTAGTCTTGACATAGCACTCACACAGTTATTGCACACAGTCTTTAGTTCTAGTTCTTCAATCCGAAAGATCAAAATAGACTGAATGTTGTTTTAATATTTCTATTGCGAGCGATTCAAATCTCGATCTAGTAATTCAAATATTCGATGCTAAAATCATTTCAGTTCTTATAATTTATATTCATCCGATTATGCTCCTTGAACCTCAGTCACCCTTTCTCTACTAAATACTTATCGTTTCCAATCAATTTCCCATAATTTATGCCAAAGCATTTAAATATTCATGAGTGCTGCAATTGGAAATTATTTTCCACAGTGACAGGAAAGGAGTGGCGAGGGGACAGAAACTTTCTTCAGCTGTCGTGAATTAACCAAACAAGTCACGCCACTGGGTTTGGTGTTGGTCCCGATACTTTGTCCTGAAACGGGGACAGCTGGCTCTCTAATAGATTACCTTATCCGTTAATTGATTACAAATAAACACAAGCATAGAAAGAGTCGAAAGGAGAGGCAAGATAGCGACCTGAGCCTTATCCTTGCTACGTGCTCGAATTTGTCCTGCGTGCATTTTCATATTTGTTTAGGCGAGAGTCAGCTAACCGAAAAAAAAGGGGTGACCTGTGCGTGACCCTGACCCCAGGCCGCTCCAGGACCCCTGACCTCGCCATACCTGACCCACCCCAAGGCATTGTTTAACCAGGTGCCGTGGACTGGTACTTGGACCTGGACCGCCAGCGACACTCCGGAAAATCAACAAACTTAAAACTACATAAATCTTTATTAGCTTTTCCATCCAGTCCACAGGGAGCATACACGAGCTGGGTGCATGGAAAACCCCCAGACGAGTGGCAATCAATTAAACAATGTCACTTGCTTGCCACACTTGCAACATTGCATTTACATGACGCTGGAGGTCGAGGATGCACCAGGGGAGCTGGACTTTGGATGGTACTGAGGGGACTCCACTCGCTGACCAACTCCTAATGATGCTGATGGGCTGACACACTCTCCTAACCCCTTTATTCCTCTAGTCTCAGTGATGCTCGGTCCATGCACTGATAGGAACATTAACCCATTGAGATTCAAGTTAAAAGACTATGCATAGATAAGACGTTTATTTAAACGAGATCTTCCACACCATGCTCATTGCTTTTCTAGATGTTGCAAAACTTCATTCTCCCATAACGACAAACGATCAAAGTCGAACCTTAAACTTCGTCCTACCAACTCTGCTAAACGGCTTAAAAGTGTTTTAGAAACGGTTCCAGGTACCATGATTGATCTAACAATCAAATCTCTATGAAACTCTCCACAACGACATGAACCTTCCTGTATCACTTTTCTCATTCTTTTTGCCGTCTAAGCTCTTTGTTGGCTGATCAATGGGTTAACGCTGGCCAGGCAAGGCAAGGCAATCCATTAAGCTGTCTGCCGGCGAGGGGTATATGGGATGAGGCTGTGTTCTGTGCTGCGCCATGGCTTGGGCATTTTATAATTTATCAAAATGAAAATTGATGCCACACGAAGCAAATGCAACTGAAGTGGCCCGGCACACGCTTAACTCGCTGCTGTCTCCCACCGGTCCTGCCTTGCGTGCCGTGCCGCAACAGGAGCTGCAAGCTGGTGCTGCATGCCACACGAAATGCCATCGCAAATAGCGGAAATTCCTTGGCAAATATTTAGACCAACTTTTTTTAGTGACACGCGTTCAGGTTGAGGTCCAGCACAGGACAGCCCTAGCCCCGAAAGTGTGCACCAGCTTTAAAGCTTTCCTTATGCGCCGCCTTTGTCTTGTTCGTATTGTTTCCCTTGTTCGTCTTCTTTTGTTTTAGTACCCTGTGTACATGGGATTGGATAATCTATGGTATCACTTCACTGAGATCAGCATCAACCTTCAACATTTTTACTTTAATTTAGTAAATGCTGACTAAGTCTATGTACATATATCCTGTAATCTATTGGAGCAATGCACATGATGGGTATCCTTTGGCTGCAATGCTCAACTGCAGCACGTGTAGCCCTTCGATTCTCAGGGCATTCCTTTTTTTCTGGTTGTATTGTTGTTCTTTTCTGGACAGCCGGCATTTATGCCAGTTAAGTTGTTGGCCAGTTCGTGACTGCTGGCGGCCTTTATTTGCGCTTGCATTTTCATTTGTGCCTGTAAATAGCATTAAAAATAATTTTCCGGCTTAAAAACGCTCCACACGAACAGCAGAAAAGTTGGTGGAGCAGGAGCAGAGTGGCAGGAGAGCAGAAGGAGAAGCGCTGACAGCCGGACGGGCTTATGCACTTAATGAAATGTACACGGCAATTGTTACGGAGACGGAGAAAACGGAAGCGTAGCAGGAGACAGACCCGGAGCCGAAGCCGGAGCCGGAGATGGATGAGGGAGACCCAGATGGGGACAAAGATGCTGCGGCTTTTGCCATGTTCGAGTTTTGCGTTTGCGTTGTCTGGCCCATCAATTGGAGCCAACTTAAATTTCCTTTCGCCCATCGTTGCTGGCCAAATGGCAAGTTCGCATTAAAGGATTCCTTGGGTTAAGTGGGCTCCATGTTGTTTACCATTTTAAGTGTTTTTCGAGTTAAATGCATTTAAAAGCCTTGTCAAACGTATATGCAATTAATAAGCATCCAATTCGACATTCATTTTGCCATCATATTATACATATATAGGACTCGAATCCAAGGTTCTTGGGAAATATGCATCAGTGTTAATTCTATATTCATTTTGTTTATCCATTTCAACTGACTTTGTTATACTTTTCTTTTGCTTTTGTTGTCTTTAACCAAGGTCAATTTCCTACAGCAACATTTCTCAACTTTGTCAGTCAATTCAATTACACACGGGAGTGTGCTCGCAAATAAATCTAATTGAAATCTATTCAATGATAACATTACCCCTATAAATATTCATGACACTTTCCGCACATCGCTCTGCAATCCCTGGCCCTGGTCGGTGTTGTTCTTTCATTTTCAAATGAATTGGCCAAAGCTGAATAATAATAAAACCCGAAAATGCCTCGTACATTTTATGGATGCATTAAACGTTTTGCATAATTATTTGAAATGATTTTCTGGTGTAATATCCCAGGCACTACCGTAAATGCCGGCACTCTGATTCCAGGAATCCGAGATGGCAATCCGAGTAAATCAAAATGAATTTGCTTCAAAACAATGGCCGATTGCGATTGGCCGGAAGGAAAACTCCACTGGGCTTCAGCCTGCCAAAAGGAATTTTCAATTACAAAACAAAATGCCGAAATAAGTTATTAAGCAAACTTTGGCCAAGTGGCATCGTTAGTGTCGTCTCCCTGTATCTGCCTATCTATCTAATGGCTATCTGGCTAATGGTAATTACAGGCAGGTCAAGGCGTAATTAAATATTCTGCCAGCCAAATGAACTTGGACAGGAAGTGCCTGCCGGTGGGCGTAGAGGTTGTAGTCTAATCATATCAGCATCACAACAATTAGCCCTTCACAAGGTATTTCTCCTGCTTCTCATCGGCATAAGCCGCTTATTTGGGGGAGGTTCTGAGCAAAAGCAAGACTTTTCCATTGATGGGTTGAAAATGTTCTAGAAAGGGGAACATCTTTAATGTGTGGGAGTGGTACAGCAAATACTTTTCCATGAACTATTTGAGTCATCATTGACTTACGTTCAATATCCATGGTTCAACGCTGACTCTCAAAGCGCTAACAGCGCTGTAGACGGATGCGCTAACAGCACTGTAGGCAGGAGCGCTTCAGGCTGTTAGCGGACAGCGGCAACAGGCTGTTACGCTGGGCTGTTAACAGTGTTGCCGCCCCGCTAGCGCTGTTAGAATAATCAGAGAAAGCTGCAAACTGACGATGATGATTTATTTTTAAAAATAACAGAATAATTTAAACAAATCATGCGAACAGCCAAACAATGATTGAAATTCTTTCATTAGTGGCTTGGGGCCGCGTCCGTCTTCTCCTTTTGCGGCATAACAGCCGCGACGGAGGAACTTGGCACACGTACAGGCTTGCTATCCGAATATTCGTCGCGTCCGAAAATCGAGGGCATGCTGCGCATGTAGCCGAGTGAGGCCAGACGGAAGGCCTCCTGGGTGTCGACGGTGCGTGGGAGGTTGATCTCGGCCGACAGCCGCTGGTAGCAGGGGTGGCTGGGATCAAAGCCAGGCTCCGGCTCGATGATGTTCGAGTCTCCGCCGTCCTCGAAAGAGGACTGGTTATGTGACAGGGTATGCGAGCTGTGTTCATCCAGCAGGGCGTTGTCCGACTGGGGGCAGGTTTCAGGGAAGCAAGAACTCTTTTCGGACTCATAGCTCGGCTCTGAGATGCTCATGTCAGCGAACTCCTCGGCAATGAGGCGACGGGCCAGCGGCACCGATAGGTACTCCTTGCAGTAGTGCAGCTTGCGTCGACGCTCGAACTCCAGGCGCCTCACCTTCTCCTCCACGGACTCTGGGAAGTCTTCGTCATCTGACGAGTCATCAGAGTCCTGCTCCATGCCAAAGGAAGGCGTCTCCGACTGTGAGGTGATGCGCAGCTTCTCAATCAACTCAGCGGTGTCCAGCTCCTTTGGCAAGTCGTCCTCAAACACGAACGGGGTCTTCGGCTCATCAATGATCATGTGCCCGTAGTCCTTGCCCACCGGATGGAAGGTTTGCAGCACATTTAGCTCATCGAACTTGGCCGTCTTTTGGCCCGCTTGCTGCTGCCCCCCGCTGCTGCCAACCTTCAGGATGCCCTTCACATCATCAGAGTTTATTGGATCCATGAGAATGTGTTTATATCGCTTGTAAAAATAAATTGTGTAAATAAATTGTGAACTTTATCCAAAAGTTGGACGTGTGTGTTGTTGATATTCTCTACGAATGATATTTACGACAGACTGTTTTCTGTTCTGAAAGTAGGTTGCTCTTTTCTCAACATTTTTGGAAATTAATAATTTACAATTCCCAAGTGGAACTGCTTTGCCATGGGAGTCCATCCACTGCACATTAACTTTTAAAAATTAGAAACCGATTCGCTCTTGCCTGCACCACTAAACAGATAACAGCAAATCCCCAATGCATGCCACAAAAGAAGACAGAATCACTTTCAAATTACCGAGCACTCGTCGTTGCTTTATTGCAGGCTCTGCATAATCCTTGTTGTTTGGCTAGAGGATGTCAAGTCTCATTCTCGATGCTTCATCCTCCATGAGCTGTTTGCAATCGCAGCCATCAGACCACAAAGTAAACTCATTTTGACGTGTACTGACTGGGGGATGGCCATATGAATGGCAAAGAAGATCCAATCGGTGAAGAGGAGTCCCGGCTATATTGGAGTGGAGTCAGAGCCACGCTTCATTATTGATGCTCTGAACCGGAGTTTTTGTTATTGATGTAAACATATTCATCACAAACATGCTACCTCTGACGGCGGAAGAGAGCGGGGCGAGTGGGCCAGAGGGAGCTGCGTTGCAGTTGCAGTTGCAGTTCGGTCTGTGGCAGCTGCCACTTCAAAACACTTCACTGCACACCATTTTTTTTGCCCGCTGCCTTTGCACAAACGTTGCCGCGCCTCACTGACACGGAAAGAGGACGGGGACGGAACGGGATCGGAGTGCATGTATTGCGAATTGATTGCAGCACATTATTTCACAATTTTGCCAGCAAATAAACAAGCCTTTTGGCACAGACTGTTCATGCGAGCCCATGCACTGGAAAGAATGTTAGATGAGATTATGAAAAAAAAGAAATGGCTGACACTTGGTTGGTTGGGGACTTCAAAAGTTTTCAACAGAGAAGAACATTTTTTAAGCAAAGCTAAACTCAAACATCTTCGGTTAATTCAATAAAATTAACATTTCTTTATGCACCGATTATGTACCTCTCAGTGTACTGGCAAAATTCTCGAATTTCTCTCAGTGTACATGAGCATCCCAGTGATTCCGGCATGCATATGACGAGCGGCGGCTGCTTATAAGCTCGGTCGATGCGACAAACAGCACCATAAAAGTGACGATGACGACGAGTTCTTGTGGAGGGTGATGATGATGATGATGATGATGATGATGATGCTGGTGATGATGATGATGATAGGAGGATGAGAGCGATGCCAGAAAACAGTCAACAACTGTTTCGGTAGTCGGAGTTCCGTTCCTGTATCGCAGCCATGTTTGATTGCCTGCCTACGACGATGCAGTGCGGAGCAGCCGGGATGTTGATGCGGCTAAAAATTTCTCCTTCGATTTACGGAATTGCCGTTTGCCCGATTGCATTTCTTATGGGGACCCCAGACCCAGGACGCGGCTCTGGCTCTGGCTCTGGCTCTGGTTCCAGCTTCAGCTTCAGCGTCGGCAGCATCAATTGCAACAATGTGCAGCGGGCAGGCAGGATGTGTGCAATGCGTTTCTCTGTGTGTGCGAGTGCTTCGTGCTACGTGCTACATATGCGCATAAGTAACAGCTGTGAGGTGAGTGAATTGAGAAAGAGAATGGGTGGAAAATGGGATGCAGAGCGGTGGGAGCAGGGCGCTTCCTTGCCCGGGGAACACATATCAACATGATTTTATGGCAAAATCATAAATTTCTCTTGATTCTTTCGGCTCTCGTCTTCCGCTATGCTGTGTAGCATCCGTTTCCGTAAGAAGTTGCACCACCTCCCGCTCCAATGAGTGGGGGCGTGGCATACATGTTGGTGGGGATACAGTTGAAGCGCTGCTGATGGATACCAACTCTCTGGCATACGTATTTACTATGGCCCTGGGAATGAATGAATCAGAAGAGACCACTTGAGGGATCATTAATGCAAAGTACAGTAAATTATCCACATTCGGATTTGATTGTCAGGTGAAAAATTCTTAGCTCTACCAGCAAAAGACCTCGATTTGGTTGTACGAGAGGTTTCATTGGGTTTCCTTTCCCGCAGAGAGCCTTCCCATTGCAGAAAAGTTTCACCTTGGATGTCCTTCCGCGAAAGCCTTCCCTGTATTCCAATTGAAATTGCAATGCCAAACGGTTATGCATATTTATTAAAAACTGTCTGCTGCGATTAAAAGCCAATCAGACCAATTGCAAATTCCTTTTATTGGAGCCGGCCGCGTGCCTACGAGTCGCCGCCACCCTACCCGCACTATCGCCTTCCCATCGCTGGCTCCACCCACTGCACTCCCACGGTACAGGCTGTAGTTTATAAATATTTAAAATTTAATTTTTGCAATACCACAGACACACACACAGAGAGAGCACGGGGGGACTATGATATGCTTGATGTTGGTTTGCAGTTTGTTGGTTTTTTTTTTCTCTCGTTCTTGGCAGTAAGCTTAAAAAGAAGGTTCTCTTCCTCTCTTTCTTTATTTTGTAGCCGTGAAAGGGATATTAAGACTTGGGAAGAACTTTGCATACGCCGTAAGGGAAGCAATTTCGATGCTGTATATTTTGGTTATATTTTCTTGATCGATTCCATTGCATTCAAACAATTAGTTATCTCAGTTGAGTTTAATTTGTTTATGGCATAGTCGACCAATATGTTAGGGTATCAAAAGCAGCGAATCCCAAAAGCTTACGTCCCCTATCCTCCCCTTACTCCATCACCAGCTCCCTGTGTGTACCGTTGCTTTGCTGCCTTTGCCTGCACTGCAATCGAAGCGTGAAACGTTCCAAAAGGCAAACACGTTGAGCGCAAATGTACCGCGTTTCCTTTTTGGCTTTGCACTGCCACCCATCCGCTATTCCCGTTAGTCTCTATCTGCTTCCGCCCCCCAACAAACCACTAGCCAAAACCGAAACCAATACCAGGATCACCTGGAAGCCTGTTGTGTGTGTGTGAGTCCGCGTGGGAGTGTGTGTTGGCAGTCAGCTAGCGCTTGACAGCTTGGCAAACAGTTAAATAAAGTTGGCAGTCGCCCTGCTGCTTCGACTAGTCTCCTACCCATACGCATACACTGGGTGTATGCGACGTTGGCCAACTATCCCACCTGATTATTATACCCTACATTATACTACGATATGCAAGCTAGGGAATCTTTTATTTGCTTACAGTTTTATATTTATTCCAATTTTGGAAGCCTTTTTTCTTTAATTGCAGACTTTTAAAGATTTTCCTTTAAAAGGGCGCGGGTAATGGAGGGGCTTGCTTCACCTTTAATTAAATTCTTTGAACAGTTTTCTATCCTTGCTTAATTCTCCTCAAAATTACATACACACATTGCGATTAAAACAGGTCTTCAAAGGGCGATATCTCTGTTCTGGTTACACATCATTTATATTCAAATATCAACTGTTAGTGTATATTTACAGAAACTTTCTCTCTCCATAAAAATCCAATAACATATCGTCACATCAGTCTGAAGCATTGACATTTACTTCTCCGAGTCCACGTATTTACCTCTTCCCAGCTAATTTAATTAGATTTTCGCCAATTTGTACCAGTTTTATGCTGCAGTTGTTGTTGTTGACATGGAAGGCACTTGCAGCTAAACTGAAATTCAATTAAAATGGAGTAAACAACCGCAGAGCAACCGACAGCGTTTGACGAAGTATATTGCAAAAATGGTAATTGAGTTAGCTGGTTCATAAAACACAACAAAAAAATGGAAAAATTCAAACGTGCTTCACTGTGCCACCAATTTTTCCCATGCCACCCGCCACCATCTTTGCTCTTTGAAGGATGGGTTGACTGGTTTGGAGAAATGAATCGGGGTTTAAGCTACATCTAAGCCAATAATAAGTTTTTTTCATATTAACTACATCCAGGAAGTTCTCCACTATCAGTCAGATTATTCCGCCATGGCTATCAATTAAAGCTTGTATAAATTACCGCTTAAACCACTAATTTGTTATACTTAAACATTTTATAATTCTTCTTTACCCCAGACCAGATCCATGAGTAATTCCTTAATATTTCATCACCTTTTTGTGGCGCAGCAGCTGTTGACAATATTGCTGCAGCTTGGACTTGGACTGCTCTTTCCACTGCTCCATTCGCTGCTCTTTCCCCAGTTGCCTGCAGTGTTGCTCGAGAACACTTAATTATTAGCAAATTCTCGGTAGAATTACAATTTCATGACAATGACACAATGGAGCAGCTAATGAATATGAATTACATGGGCTCCCTTCGCTGCACTGCCAACTGTTTGTCCGCGTAGCAAACACAAAGACAACGGACAAACAAACACAAACACGAACAAACACCAAGCAGAGAACACAGCAAACAAACTCTGAGCTGATTGTGCGGCTGACAAGGACATAGATGTTGATACACTTAAACCTCGCTTACACGATAAGTTTTTAACCGACGGAATGGTTAGCTACTATTGGTAGCTGTGGCTCCCTGATGGAAGGAAAAAATTGCATAGATCTTGCAGAAAATTGCAGAAAAATCTTGAATAAGTTAATACATTTTCACAGACTTTACTTCGGTGAAATTCAGTGTCAGTGCTCACATTATGCCATCGAATTAATATCTTAGGAAATATCGGTGGAAAACTCTTCGTAAAACAACAAGTTAAGAGAGACACACAACGAGAGAGAGATTTCTGTGTAAGTAAACCCACTTATGTGAGGCAGCGAAACTTATGCGACAAAGTTTCAACAGTTATTGTTGTTGGTGGCACAGTCTACTGTCTTTTCGTATAAACTTGTTGGTAGTTGTACTTGTTCGAGTACATACTCAACTCTACTCTATGTTTTTTTTGTTTCTTCTCCACACTCTCCGCTCTGCCTCTCTTTCAATGCACTGCCCTCGAACCAAAAACAAACTTCACGAAGCAAAACTCACATAAATTACGCGCGCACAAGCAAAAGTCACCAAATGTCAAATGCAGCAAAAGGGAAAAACAAAAATAAACAAAAGTACACTCAAACACACAGGCAAAAACTAAAAC